TGACCTTTTGGAATGTGGCAAATAGCATCACTAAGATAAAGTATGAAAAACAGTTGCAGTTTTTCAAAATAAAACCGGTAACCATTGTATGAGTGCGATGACCTCGTGTGGCTTAAGCCGGGAGGCGACATTTATCAGCCCGACTGATTTTAGTGGTCAGTATACTCATTCATCCGTGAATCTTTTAAAACATTGGCATGATCCAAAATCAGCTGGCAGAGGGGATAGTTACCTACAAAAACATGGGGTTAGTATGAAGAAATTTAGGACCGACAATGACCTTTTGGAATGTGGCAAATAGCATCACTAAGACAAAGTATGAAAAACAGTTGCAGTTTTTCAAAATAAAACCGGTAACCATTGTATGAGTGCGATGACCTCGTGTGGCTTAAGCCGGGAGGCGACATTTATCCGCCCGAGTGATTTTAGTGGTCAGTATACTGGCATGCGATTCATGCACAAACCAGCATTCTGAGTGGTTAGTTGTGCACAATCCAGGAAGCGTGCGCGTGCAAATCGCATTTGTGTACAAACCAATAATAAATTGAGTTAAATGGTGAAGCGCACAAACCAAGGAAAAATGGACTGTCAGTGAAGGCGTGAAAACCGCATGAAACAATTTAGAGAATTTACTCCAGGCGATCTCCGCTTCCCCGCATGAAATGTGTGCAACTGCACGTTTATAAAATGAGACATCTTAACACCACAAAACGTATCCACGTACCTATACGTGTCCACCAGCCTGCCTTTCTTCACGCAAGCTTTTTCTGACTACCCACATCACTCTCCCCCAAAAGCTTGTCAGGAACTCGACATTCGTGCTTTCGGAATTCTCGACTCCAACTTCATTATAGTGTTGGATATGTATACATATTTAAGGCTTTTCGCACCCAGAACGATAAGTTGCCTTCATCCAAGCTAATCATATTTTACGCGAAATCAGTAGCATCCTGTGAAGAAACAAGTCAATCGGGAAGTCGAAAAGAAGCCAGGTGACGTCGGCTCATTTGAACCACGAACCTGCAGGTCTTCTCCCAAGCTTATCCCGCCTGTCCACTGAGCCACAAGCGGCTACTTGTGCGAACCTACTCTAAGCAGCCAGGCCTCGTATGTGGTAGTCGTGTGTTTTGGTAAGAATCACGTGACTAAGACCAGCCAATCATTTGCTTCAGTTTGACTTGTGCATGGATCGACTTCTCGTACCGTACCGTATTTCGTTGCCAGATCCTAAACCTCTTGGCCGCCTGAACTCTACGGAGTGCTGCGGGAAACTCTTCTCAGCAGGAAGTTTTTTGACATGTGTACCTATACCTAACCACGCGTCGTACGAAGTGTGGGAGTGTTCCCTTTTCATACTGTAGTATTCACGCTACAGTTGATAGTGATCCTCCGAAGTTCGGCTTTCAAAACAATTCCTGTGTATAAAAAACATAAAAAAATATCATGAACCGCAGCCCGGTAAGCTAGGTTTTACGTCAACAATACTCACATATATATCATCTAAACTGGCATACACCGTACACTGCGGAATAACAATCTGGACTGCATCAGCATTGCCGATCGGATGTTCGCACCGGAGACACCAATAGGCAAACCCCGACAAATTCTAGATATTCTCTGAGCACAGTGACCACACTTCTGATCCATAAAGCTTTTTGGATCGCACTGCAGCAGTGTAAACTAACCTTGACGTCACGTTGGTTCCGTAGATGTCGGAGTTTGGTAATATCTGCCCTCAGCTTCCAGATTCGAGAAGTAGCGTCCATGTATCCGCAAAGAAAACAGTTATGTGACGATTCTGATGGTGCAGGTGGTCACCGATGAAAAATTCAGGTCATAAATCCGTAAAACTCGTGTCTGGGACTGCGTGAGCTTCTAGAATAGTCTCCAGCTAGTCTACTGGCACTTTTTCAACTGACGGCTAAACAAGTTTATCTATCACATCGGTTGCAGGGTCGGTGTCCTGCTGTCTGGATCTGGCTGCTAGTGTATCAAGGCCATAATGGCCCTACGTTTGGATGGTATGAAAGCCTGTTTGGGGCTACAAATGGTCATTCCTCGCTTGTTCCGCTTGCGGTCCGGTTGCCTATGATGGTACCTACGACGGTACGGCCGGTGACTATCATACCGAAACCAAGTGCCTCCTCCAGTGGTCTGGTGTCAAGTAAGATGGCTTTGTGATGTAGTGCGTTGTAGGTTCACAGAATATTTCCTCGCACGAAAGCAATGGTACTAGGCAGATTGTGGAGAATTTCCCGGTCGTGAGTGTGGTTCCATCGCGGATGATGGTAGTTTGAGTGCTCTATCGTTTGCTTCCGCTCGTCTGCGTGGTTTGTTTGCGGAGTGCGGTGATGTACTTTAGGGATATTCAACGTATCAGTGTAACAGAGATTGTTACCACTTGTGACATGTGGTAATCACCGACTGTACTAGTGTTGGCCAGAGTCTGGTTTACTCCTTTATCCGAAATGAACCACAGGAGTGTTATGTTATGTTATGCTATTGCCGTGGAAAATTTTGTTCGAATGATGTCCACGGTGAATGCTGTTCGAACAATTGTGGCACACGAAGGAGACACAGTTGTTCAGCATGAAGTCAGTGATGTCTGATGCCGCCGTAATTTTTCGTTCTTCTCATGTATTTCAAAGGTAGGATCAGTAAGCTTATGGAAGTGGCTCATTCGGATAAATGTTTGCCTGGTCAAAGCGAATAGTGCGTGTAAAGAAGTGTGAGTATGGGTTCTATTCCACCAGTATCAGAAGCCGGAATAAGGAGCACTGCTTGTTTCTCAGCGAGCATTGGTTATCCAACCTGAGTACCTGTGCAAAGTGTGCTCGGAAGGATGCTGTGACCCCTAGTAATGAGACCACTGACCAGGCCGAATCTGCGAACAGGTTGCTCACCCATGTCCAGGCCATTACCAACAGGATTCAGCAATTAGAAGCCAAGTACGGAAGACTAGTAAGCGTCCCACTTGTTTGTGTTCGTTAACTGCCATGTCTTGTCGAATGCGTGGGTGGCGGGCGGTTTGTTTCTCTGCCGTAAAATCCATCTTTTCCTCAACGTCGTGCGGCAGTGGCAACCAGTGTGCGTCATTCACGCAGGCTCTGGGGAAACGAAGCTCTGATCATTTCCGTTAGATTGCGTTTTACTAATTCTCTCCACATTTATTTTTCAGGGATATCTGCGGAACACATTTTTGATGGTTCTGTAATTTGCTTGCAATCAGTCATAATATAATTATGTTTCCCAACAAGCGGCTTCATATGTCCTGACAACGCAGGCGTCGCGGTAACCAATCCATCTAGGCCTTGCGTTGAAAACAGGCTTGTGTAGGTGAGAAAGGGCGCGTAATTTTCCTGTTTCGTCTTTACCCTCAGACTAATCCCGGAACGCAGTGCTTCTAGGTCAATATAGAATTCCTTAATAGCAGCATTTGTTTCGTAATGTTTGCAGGAGCCCCGCAGCCCACATGTGGCTGAGGCATTTTCTACATTCCCGGGTGCTTCATTCCAAAAGTGTCACTCGACCACCGAAAATTCTTTAAACAAATGCTAGACCAGCCAAAGATTCTAGGATGCATATGCACCATAGATAGCAGCTCGTCGGTTGTTACTCAACTGGAATGCAGAATCACCGATGCGCGCAAGCCATCCTCGTCAAGCGCGCCTTGGAAGCAAGGGGGAGCGGTGATATCTGAAGGCAGAGGTTCACGACAATCTATGTAACCGACAACTGAAAAGAGTGCTTTTGAGCGAAAAGCAAGTTAGCAAAGCTTCACACCAACAATGGTTACATAAATAAACGATACTAGCAGGCAATGATCACTACATACTTCAATAATTCCTCTCATTCCTCAAGGTTTTCTGACGGTAAGGACCTTTCTTTATGTCCACACATACTAAGCGTTAAAGGGAGAAATATCAGAAATACAAAATCGGTTACCAGCTCTGGTATAACCGCAGGTAATATCTCTGGTCAGTTGACTGTGAAGAACGCACCGACAATTCCATTATTATAAACCAGATTTGCGGCGATTAGTGAAAATACCTGTTCTCGTAGCTTCTGAACACAATTCGCATGATACATGGCCTTCAAGGTGTTCATTCAGCGTAACAAATCCGATTATATTTAGTCTATTCTTTTCAATCGAGCGATTAACGGTTTAATAACAAGTGAACGACGCTGTGTGCAAACAGTCGACACACCAATGTTAACCGCTAAATATCAGCTATCCAGATTAATCATTTTCGTTACTGTCAGTAACCATAAACATCATCGTCCTTTGAGGATACCGGTGCCATTAGGGACAAGATGAACGATTGCACTTGTCATAAGGAAACTATTTTAATCTACCGGAAATCGCATACTGTCTGCCATCACTAAATTTGAAAATCAGTTAAAGATGTAAATTTTTAACATATAAAGCCACCGTTTAATTCTTGGCTTCGTTCAAGAGGGTCAATCATAAACCTGGAATCCGCCATGTTGCCATTTTTGAATCTCCCGCCATATATATTTCAGCCAATCAGAATGAGGATGATGCCGCAAGACGCGTGATCGCCGTCGATTGACTGGTCTACCAGCACTAGTTTGCGCTTGGTGCCATGCGGTCTTGTGGCAGCACTTTACACTTTGTGTGGAGCGCGTTTAATTCTTGGCTTCGTTCAAGAGGGTCAATCATAAACCTGGAATCCGCCATGTTGCCATTTTTGAATCTCCCGCCATATATATTTCAGCCAATCAGAATGAGGATGATGCCGCAAGACGCGTGATCGCCGTCGATTGACTGGTCTACCAGCACTAGTTTGCGCTTGGTGCCATGCGGTCTTGTGGCAGCACTTTACACTTTGCAGGTGTGGAGCGCGGGAATTAATCGGGTTACTTGAAATGGTTTGAAGGATCTGGGCCGAAAAGTTCATTGTCATCTACATGCTGGGTGGCCATAAGCGAACCCCGAGGTTTCAGAGGCCGACAGACAAATTCGAAGCAGCGCATGAATGACAAAGTTGAAGAGGAAAGGTGAGAAACAGCAGCCTTGCCTTACACCACTGCGTGGTAACCTCAACCGAAAACTTGACGTACGTGTCCGCAGTTTCCACCACTGGCGTATTGCTACCAACGAAAAAGCTGATATATTTTTTACCCAGATCTGCAGGATTATGAGGCGAACAATCAAAAACATTACAGGTGTGCGTACAGCATGTTGGCTGTTCAGTAGCGATTTCGGTAACTTCGGCCCTGCTTCCCAAACTTGTAGCCATGGGAGTTCTATATAATAGAATATCACTTACCACGACTCTTCAATTCTTGATTTTTGTGACCTACGAGGAGTTCATGAAAGTCTTCGTAGGATTTTAATGACAAACATTACCTTACTTTGGTTTATGTGCACTGCAACAGCGTTTTTCACTGTTTGTTCCAGTTGCACTCCGTCTTTGCCTTAGGTAAAACGTTTTGTAAAACAGTCACGGTTTCTACATACATGTTACGCGAGTGCTGTTGACACAAATCATTGATACCTAATGAGCTATCCAGCGACTACGTTTAACTGTACAGTCGCAAATGAGGTATTTATCGTGCAGGTCCGATTTGTATGGGACGAACCATCCAGAGATTGCTTTCGTGGTTATGGTAATAGCATCAACTTATATAATAGTATTCCCCATAAAAGTCTCCTTCCACAGCTTCTTTTCTTGATTGTCGGCTCCCTGGAAGGTACTATGCATCCCAGTGTTCTGAACCAGTAGTGCTTTCTAGTTGAGTCCCTCAAGATTTGGTCACTGAGTCTGAATTTTTCAGGTTGCTCATCAACATAAATGTTCAGCTGTTTCCGTTCTTAGCTGCCATGCCACCAGAAGGAAGCACGAGGGTTGATATACTACCAAGTCGCCCAAACCTAGACTGGGGCAGTCGAGGTGTGCGATATAACCACAGCCATCTCGCCCCTAACCACTGGGCCATTTGTTGATTTTTCATCAACAAATTATGTATGATGCGAAACTCCTACTGTTCACTCTGTTGATCATATGAAGGCCTGATATGTACTGTCCATTATTGACAGGTTAGATAAATTACAGGACCCTGGACTCGATCCATGAATGACTTGTCAAATGGGAGCTCCCGATTAACCATGACAAATGCTCCGTTGTTCCGGTTGGCGCGTTTGAACCTTTTGATTCCTACCAGGTTGGGGTTTCTGCTATACGGGTCGACACGGGGAGAGGATATGGTCATCGAAGTGTCCTGTCACCTCATCATCGTTCCGGACGTAGTGAAAAATTCGCAGAAAAGGGTCTGTTCTAATTAGCGGACCCTGCCCTGGAATGACTCCTTGATTCTCGGGTGCTGGTCGCCGGCGATCCTCCCACTGACTATACATGAGTTCGACATGCGAAGAGTTCAACGTCATGGTGCGAAAATTTTGATGGAGCTCTCGTGTCTCCCCTGTCAAAGGCACGTAGGGTTTTCTATCAGCTTACTGTGGTTGCCGTATAGACTTAATCTGTGTCGGAGGAGGAGGAGACGGAGGCTGCCGGAGATCTTTATAGCCTCCACTGACGGCTATTGTTGGAAGCTTTATAAGCTGGGGAGGTTATGTCTGAATAACAGTCACTCAATCCATTCGTGCGGTAAACGACTAAAACGGCCTTCTCAAAACAATAGCCGACCAGTCCGAGAGATTTTTCAAAAAGGTATTTGGATGTATCTGAATTGTCATGGATCTCGTCATCGTTGTTATAACCAGTCCTCTCCGGGAAAAGACGGACGACCTCGTAAAAGTTGGTGTGAAGGGACGGAGTTGACAAACGACTTCCATTCTGTTTCCTTTAATTTTCGTCACTCCGTTAGCATGCTCTGATCACAGCTAATTCCTTTAGTTCTTCTTGGAAATCTCCCACATACTACTTGTTCTGGCCCCTTGCGTCTTGAATACGACGGCTTCATGAGCGATCACAAATACGGATCCACTTGTGCCCAATGTTGCAAGCTGTCTAAATGGTCTAAGGACTCGCAAACTCTAATAGGTAATCTGGGCCTGCTGACCGTAGTCTTCCCTTCTGCGCTGAGTGGATGAACCACTCACGTCCAACGGATTACGCTAGCAAAGACATGTACTTTGTGTGCCCTAGAATCGTCTGTTTCATGGGACTTTCTCGGCTCCTTATCCTGTTAAAACAAACTACAACAGTTAGTCTGTGGTCTGGCGTCGAAGTATGGAGAACATAAGTGGTAATCTGTTGTGTACTCGCCCATTATGGTATTTCAAAAGGCGCGGTAGTTTGAGACAGTCCCTTGTGAAGAATCATATGGCTTTATCACAGGATTTCCCTCAAGACTGCGCTAGAATCTTCTCGTGGGAGGGTGGGGGCGGTAGGGACCGAGCTGCGAATGATCGGTCCTGATTGAATGATAGGGCATGCCTTCGTTGGTCCGTGACCTACACGCGTCACATCCGTCCAATCAATGTGTTGTTCGGTCACTTAGGGCGACTGGCCATCTGAACGTATACTTAAAATGGTTGACGACTGCCTGGATAAGGGCTCCGAGACTCGACCCATCATCGCTTGGTAACACTGATGGACATGACGTAATCATGCATTTAGTCTCACTCCCTCATTGCGTGGCTGACAAATTTTCGACTTCATCTGAAAACTGGACAGATTTGGCGTCAACTACTTGACTGAGTCGTCACCTTACATACCTGCCTCTTCCTTCTTTGGTCTCAGTCTTCGGTGAATTAAACTGTAGCAGCGGGAACTAACGTACCTTTGATAGGTGCTTTACGAATGAGCAAATGGATTGTCCATTCCTTTGGAAGGTGAGCGCTGTTTCATTTCCATCTATTTCTCTTTCGTAGCAGTGTACTCTTATCTGAATTCGTCGACCATTATATATATATATATATATATATCTGAGTG